CAGTGTCCTGTATCCTGCAGCAGGGGGCTCAACGAGACCTGCTGCTGTGAATGGCAGCTTTGTTTAATGACTCAATGAGTCCTGCATCCTGGAACAGCAGATCCTCTGTCTCTAATCGTCCACACCAGATCCACCTGCAGACTACTGCTGCTGTAAACATGTCTCTCCTCTCCTAAGGAGATTTATCTGGAACAAACATTAGAGTTTGACAAGGCAAGAAGCAAGACATGAAATCATGAAACACAAGGACAATAAAATGATATCAAATGCTGAGTATGCATGTTATGACTAATGTGTTGTGAATTGTTATTTGCATTCATATTTTTCAATTAAACTTAGGTTAAAAGAGCCACCCACATCTGTGTTTTTGTTCAAAGATCCAAGCTTTTAGTGGTCAGACACATGGTATTTCTCAATCCACTAGTTTTTAAAAATGAATGGTGGATAAATAATTTATTTTTAAGCTGTTGGGCGGCCAGGTTGTTGAAAAATCATCCTTCAGCAGGACATGTGCTTCAGTGGACTGGGCCGCTTTCCTCTGGCCCTCTGGAAAAGGTTTTAATTAACCGCTTATTAACATTTAGATCTGCAGATTTTATGGATTGTTGTTAATGACTGTAACATGTTTGTGTTTTGAGGTTTTCTACTCAAATAAGTGGATCTCCAGTTAAGTTACCTTTTACAAAATCATGAAATAATCATGGAGGACTATATAACCATGGCACCCAACAGCAATTTCAGTGATTAACAAATATTGTAAGAAAGGTAACCGAGACTTTTGGGTTATTATTGAAAAGTTGGTTCCATGAATTTAACAAACACCACGCTTTGGGTGAAAATGAAAGTAGTGTAGATGAAAGTTTAATGGATATATTCCAAATAACAAAAGTGGCACCTGTTAGACAGAACAGCCCAGTCACATAGAATCACACTTACAGGAAGTGTAATCACATGAAAAGACCAAAAACTGGCATGCAAAACCTTTCTGACTTCCTGTCCACAGCTCTTAGCTCAAGCTATTGGTTCTACTGCAGACGCAAATCTATAAAAAAAACACCTTACAAATGTATAGTTTCATTTGTGTTTCAACAATTTCCTAAAACAGTTGGTCACTGCAGTTTTTATGAAAGAAACTGGAAGAAATAGTGTATTCGTTGGGGACTATTTTCAGTGGTGGATTAATCTACATTTGGTGCTGTAGTGAGTATTTGTGGCAGCAGTTACAGTGCATGTTGGATTGAGTCAACCCTAATCTTCATTAACATTTCTGGATTCACATGTAGAATCTGTTGGCAATGGGGCAATACTTTTAGTATTGGAAGCTTTCTGGTTTTCTGTCCAGTCCGAGTGGTATTGAGCAGGCTTTGGTTGAATGCAGGTAAACATTCCGTGTAGAGGGCAAAAGAGGCGGAACGTGTTAGCCAAAATGCAATCTGGGAACCCATCGGCTATCATCCGACGATGATTTTGTTTATTACTGGTTTAAAAACACTTGTGAACTCGCTACTTGTGAAATAATCTGGTCGTACACGCCGTCTCACAACTCCAACTCCAGTCTTGCATCTCAAGTTGTTAATTGGACTGTTAACAATGAGCAGCTCACAGAAGAGGAAGTCTTGGCCCAGATATCTGATGGCTACACCGGAACCCTGCAAACATTGCCCCTTGCAGCCGGAAGCTAATCCGCCTGAGACAGATAGCCGATGGGCTCAGATATGGATCGCAAACCCTAACCCTACCCCTCCTGATGGGCAGGTGGCACATAGCATGGCAGCCTCTGCCTACAGTGGATGAATGTGGAAGTGAATGGCTGAATGCTGACATGTAGTGAACAGCTCTTTGAGTGGTCAGAAGACGAGACATTCCAACAGCATTCAGTCAAATAGAAACATTGTCTCTTTCTGATTGAATTGTATTGCTGCTTTATTCCTTAGTGAAGCTGCTTGCTCATACTGTTTCCTGTACTACACTCATTGCATTCCTCTAGTCCAGGGGTCTTCAACGTTTTTCAGGCCAAGGACCCCCAAACTGATAGAGAGATGGAGCAGGGACCCCCCGACTATATATATTGTATAAAATTGTGTTTTACATTAAATGGGCCTAGTACCATGTATACCTCTTTATTGTGCATTCAATACTAAGCTATTCAAATAATACACAGGTTCATATATTCATGTTTTTATTTTAAACATGTGCAAGGTACAGTGAGTAGGGTGGCCGTGCCGCTGCCATTCATAAACATACCTTGTCAGCTGATACCAATGCCAACATCAACATTGTCTGTTAATTGCATGATAATCATACTAGCTATTCAAATTGATGTTTTCATTTTATACATAAATGTGGAAACGAAAAATGAGTGATGGCCTATTAGTGCCACTGCCATGCATAAAGATACCTGTTATCTTTCATACAACACTGAACTATTACAATAATGGACAGATTCATGTTTAGAGAAAAAAAAAAAAAAAAAAAAAAATATATATATATATATATATATATATATATATATATTTTTTTTTTTTTAAATTGTATAATCAACCAAAGATTTCGCGGACCCCCTGCAGTACCTCCGCGGACCCCCTGTTGAAGACCTCTGCGTCTAGTCAAAAGCTTGACAAACCAAATGTCCCAAAGGACTAAACAAATAATTGTTTTGGATGCTGTGTGCTGTGATGTTGGCTTGTAACCAGGATGTGGGAGCAGTTTAGTGCTGAGGTGTCCTTAACCCCCCCCGCTCGCTCTTTCACTGCGTGTCTCTGTCTCTTTGTCACTGTGTGTTGTCACAGCACCAAGGTCAATATTTGAACTACAGGGCAGCGTTAACGGGCGCTCCTATTAACACTTCTCATTCAGCAGCTGTACTCAGCCCTGCCCTGATAACACACACACTGCTATTGCCCGGCCCACTCGAATAGGATGCAACTTCCTGGTTTGTAGTGAAGCACAGTGCACCTGAGCTCACTGCAGATAAAGCTGAGAAATACTTACACACATGTTGTGTTAACCAACTCAACACTTCACTAAACACACATATTCACTGCTTTCCCTTAGATCACTTTCTCTTTTCATTATTTCATTTTTGCTTTTGTGACACAATGACCAGTGTTGAGCCTGATGATCAGGTAGAGCATGGTGACTGTTGAACACATCACACAGCCTGCTGCTGTGGCCTTGCATGACACACACCACTACTACTGGTATTATTAGTCACATTTCTATTACTATCACTGCTTTTATTAGGGCCCGATGTAGTCGGAGCGGAGTACCTATTGTTCTTCTAATGTTTATTATTATTATTATTGTGGCTGTTTCGTTGCAAAAAGGAGGTGCTTGGGATACTGGAAAACTATCCTAGAAATTTTGCACGCAAGCCAGAATTTGTGAAAATTGCAGTGTGATTGGGGTGTCCAGCGGTATGAAATATTGGCTCAATAGCGCCCCCCTATTTGGTAGGTATGTGGAACGTGATGGGACGTACAAAAAATCCTCTTGGAATTTTTCACTAAACCAAACAGGAAGTCGGCCATTTTGAATTTTATGACGTTTTTGGACCATTTCAAGGCGTCATACTTTAACGAACTGCTCCTGGAGATTTAACTCGATCGACTTCAGATCTTTTCAGTATTGTCTTGAGACCTTGGCAGTGAAAGTTACTCAAAGATCAAAAATTTATCGAACTATATGTATCCGTGGCGTGGCGGCAAAAAAACACAAGCATAAGCAACATAAGCAAACTTGGCACACAGATTTAAAGCCCAAAATGTAGTTATATAATATGATTTTATTGGTTCAGAGTGGCAAATCGGCTCAATAGCGCCCCCTACAAAATTTCGACGAAGCAGCCCTCGCAGTACGTTTCACATAGATTTACAAAATTTGATAGGAACATGTATCACATGTGGACTTAAAAGAAAGTCTCTTGGAGCCATGCTCTAAACCCAACCGGAAGTCAGCCATTTTGAATTCTTTATGAATTTCTAGTGTCGTTTTTATGATTTCCAGGCGCTGTACTTTAACGAACTCCTCCTAGGGAAATAATCGAATAAACTTAAAATTTGGTCAGAACAAAGACCTTTGTGATGAAAAGTTACTCAAAGCTTGTTGTTTCCTGAAAGGCCGTTGCTGTAGCGACGCATTCTTCGCCATGAAAAACGAAGGTGTTTTTGAGGGGCTAATGCTCAATGCTCAAAACATAATCAAACTTGTTGAGTTTTCATTATAGTAAATTTAATTGTTTTTGTTTGTTTTGGAACAGGCTGTAATGTAAAGTAATTTCATGCAACGTGAAGTTTATTTAATAAAATCAAACTGCACCCAGACTAATTTGTATGTTAGATTATTCTACATTAATTAATACATCAAACTTAATTCTTTATAAAAATATTTTTTTTTTCCACATGGAACTATACATTCTGCTATTTCTCCTCGACTCTTCCAGCTTTGGGTCACTCAGCAGTGATTGTCAGAGCTACCTGCACAAACAAACGACCTGCATTTTTTATTTGAGTCTGTTATATTACTAACACTGAAGGGCATTCACACACATTCAGTTTTTTGTCGATTTTTACAAGGCGACAGTTATGATTGTATTCGGAGGTACACTCAAAACATTCGAGGCTTAAGACCTGGCAAAATGACCTGGCTATGCCATTGGTCGACACAGGAAATACCGTTTAACTCGTGCACGCAGTGTATGATGGTCAAAGAAATGCATGGCCGCGTCACCCAGAGTCCTGCCAGTACCCTCGACGTGCATCAATATGCGAGGGCCCGATCAATGCTGCTTGCAGCTTTAATTATCATTATTATATCTACTGCTGCTGTTATTATTCTGCTATTTAATAGTACTGCAGTTACTACTCTCATTATATGAAACATTTATATCATATGGATTGACTATGCTGTAACGCTGTTATGTTGGTCATTCTGTACATATGACATCTATCACACTTCCACAATGTTTTTGCAGGAAACAAGAAGGCTGAGGGACAATTCAGGACAGTTCATTGAATCGTTGGTATATTTCAGTCTGGGTTTACAGATGGACAGACTTCCTCAGGAGCGTGACGCCGGCATGGCGAGAGACGTGTTGTACATTAAACAAGACACAGTTACCGCCATTTCAGGGAGGAAGAGTCTAAATGACCTGCAACATGATCTGACAGGGCACCTTTACAGCACTTCTCATTTGACTTCATGTTAGAATGATAATCGCACAGTACACCTGAGGGGTTCAGAGCAAATGCTAACATGAGATGTGTCAGCCTGGGGGGGGGGGTCATTCAGTCTGTCTATATAAGCATTTATAGTACACAAGGAATGAATTCTACTCATTCTATCGCCATCATCGGACCAAGATTCTCACAGAACAAATCAAATGGACAAACCCTCTTGAGCACATTCAGTTTCCCCACAGGATGAACGCAGAGATCAGCTTCTGAGCTCTCCTCCTGGGGAGGCTCCGACTAGTGTGTGTGTGTGTGTGTGTGTGTACACATAGCAACGTCCCACTTTCAAATTAAACACTTAAGCGCATTTATATTTGGACATTTATTCGATACACTGTGTACAAAAAAACGGAAAATATGACTGTGTATGAATGTGTATTCTGTATTCATACACACATTTCATACTGACAAAAAATTAACCCATCTTAAAAAAGGGCCAACATTCTGATGATCGCATGAAAATAAAATAAAAAACAACAACCAATACATTCTCACAGTCCCACAAGAGACACAACGGTCATCGTTTTCACAGAAAACAGTCATATGGCTGACCCCCCCCCCCCCCGTGTCTCCTCTGGGTTCAGACGAACTACAGAAGACACAGCAGCTCTGGACTGGGACAGCACCACGCCATGTTTGAAGCTAATGATTGTCATGCCACACAGTCTGAGCTACTCACTAGGATGCACAGAGGGAAAGCTTACATATGGTAAGACACACGGCTGTGGCTTCTTCATCAGCTCCTCACATTCAATAGCAGCTGCTGGAAGAACCCAACGTCTGAACACCATGCACCTTAAACAAATCATGGCCGTGTTGGCATTTTGCTTCATAAAGTGCTTCCTCAATGTTTGTGTCACTTTTCTGACGCTCCTGAAGGAGCCCAACTAAAGGGAATATGAGACATGTACACAGGACAACAGCCACAATCAGAAGGAATTCAGTGGTGTGGAAAGCTGTCTGCTGAGTAGGAGACGTCCGTTTGGTCGACCGTGTTAATGGAGTGGAAAGAGACGGATGAGACAGCAGCTAGCTGCAGCAGCTCAGACATAGTGGTTCAGTGTCACTGTTTAAAATGATCCCAATAAAAACACACAGTGGCATCAGTGATCGCGTCCCAGCCTTTATCTCCTCTCAGGTGAGCACATCTGGCTGCTTCAGGCCGGTCTCTAACAGTGCAACATGAGAGCACAGCTCTGAGGTGTTCTGCTCGGCAGCAGTGCCACTAGTGTCCGTGCTGTGGGTGCTGGTTGTGTTGGTTGTTAGCGGGGTGGTTGGGGGGCAGCGGGGGTCCGTTTACACCCGGATGGTAGAAAGCACAGTTACTCTCATACCGGCAGCTTCCCTTCATCATGAAGTGACGACACACGGGCCTCTTGGACATGTCTGGCAGGAGGAGACACAGCAGCGTTACAATCACACCAAACACAGTTTCTCCTCACACTTTTTACATTGAACAATTCAACAGTGGATTTCTGATGAATCTTCAAACATATCTAATGATGTCATCTCCCTAAAAACATCAGCGTTTCATTCTGAACAGTGATTCATTGGATTAAAGGAACAGAGGGAGGCGTTAAGGGGCATCTATTGGAGGACATGAGTGGAGCCTCTGTTGTTGTGATGGACATTAAGCTGAATATACCATGTGACTCATTTCCGCCCTTTGTCCCACATACCATTCATGTTGTTGTGTCCTCCTCTGGGCCCCCCTCGTCCTCTGCCCCTGAAGCCTGGCTCTCCTCCTCCTCCTCCTCCTCCTCCGCCTCCTCCTCCTCCTCCTCCTCGGCCTCGTCCTCCTCGGTGGAAGTGGCCCCCTCTGTGAGGCCCTCCTCTCATGGAGTCATCTCCCCAGTAGTTGCCATTGTCTCCTCGGCCCTGGCCCGGCGGCGGCCCCATCATGCGCGGGCCTCCGCCACTGTTGAAAGGTGGGCCGTGGTTGTGAGGGGGTGGAGGGTGGTTGAAGCGAGGACCACCGGGCGGGTTGTTGGGTGGGTAGCCGCCATTCATGGGCATCTGCATGTGCATGTTCATGTTGTTCATATTGTTCATGCCTGGACCGTGGCCAAGCAAACCCGGGTTGACTAGGTAGAAAGACAAGCAGGTTACATAACGATGAGTAACGGGACCACCACAGGTGGACATGGTGCTACAACAGATGGAGTTTACCTGGTGGAGGTCCACCCTGGTTCTGGTTCTGGGTCTGCTGCAGAGAGCCCAGTAGTTGTTTGATCTTGTCTGAGAAGTTAGGCTGCTTGATCAAGTCTTCAGTAGACTGGTTACCAGAAGCACCCTGACAACAGACAGCTACACATTAGCTTCACACTACAACTAGCACAACGTTCTGAATCCACCTGCTGACATATTTCAATCTAGATAGAGACAGTTCATGAAAAACTAAATGTGAATTTGGTGAACTTTGATAAGCGAGTTTAAAATAGTAAACCAGGATCCAGAGTATCCACTAAATATGTACCATGATGGATGAGAGCAGCTCCTGTACGTTGACAGTGGGAGCCACAGGGTTGGTGACTGTGGGTGTGGCCTGCGGGCTGCGAGAGCTGTTGCTCAGGTTGCCCATGAGGTTGGCCAGGACGGGGGGCAGCTTGGAGCTCTCGGTCTGGGCCATGGCAGAGCCCTGCTGTGACATCGTGTCCATGGGCTCCACGTAGCCGTCCTCCATGCTGGTGGAGTCCTGCAGGGACACAACGCGTTCATTAGGAGGAAGACATATTAGAGACCAAACATGTGTGAGGGAGTGTTCTGAGTGTACTCACCTCATCCAGAGGGATGAGACGGGGGGGCATGGGTTCATACGGCTCCGGGTCTGGTTCATGTGGACTATCGGGCACACTAGTGACAAGACAAGACGGGAAATCGTTAGCATACATTACAAGCCCTCTTCTATGAAGAACTCTGAGTAGAATAAACATAGAAAGGGTCAACGGTTCAGATCCCTGATGAACGCTGTCTTCCCTTTCGGGCCTATAGTCCATATATTTGATATTTTCCAACCTGCTCTAGAAGCAGCAGGCTGTGTCTGAGGTCCTACCTCTCTTTGCTGAGGAAGATCTCCTGCAGGATGCCCATCTCACGGTCTCTCTGGGTGAGTTTCTCTGTGCTGTTGGCCCCGGGGATGACCAGGCTGCCGGTCAGTGTCAGGGGCCTCGGGGGGGTCCAGGGGACCCTCTCTTCCATGGTGTCATGGGAGCTCCGTCGGGCCATCTCAAACGTCTGCCTGTCCATCATCAGCTCTCGTTTAGCGGCCTCACCGAAGTCCTTGATCTTGTTGACGTTGACTGTATAATTATAATTATAATAATATGAGTCATAACTCAGCTCTAGTGATGTAAAAGATCGTTGTTGATTCGTGATCCCTACGGATCCCCCCCCCCCCCACGGGTCAACCCACATGTGAACCGCAAATTAATGACATCGTTTATCTTCACCATCACAGTGTGAAATACAGTTTTACTGACTATCGTTATCCACCAATGTTCAGCAAGATATGCAAGGACATCAATGTTACATTGTAAACAACCGATCCGTGTTTAGACCGGAGGAGAGCTGGTAAAGTGGCTAATGGACAACAAACCAAGGTTCCTTTCAGTACCATTATGATGTGTTCAGGCTCTGTTCAGTGAAAATGAGTATTGGGCGAAGGTAAATGATAACGTTATCATGATGTGTTCACTATTACATGTAATGTAATCATTTTAAATAGATCCAGTAGTTTGAAGGAGATGTTTTCACAGCAATATAAATAGATAGAGAGAGAACTATAACCTGTTTGCACTCGCTCTAAGCTGATTATAATATATCATTAAAACTACTGATAACAAGATTTGTTTTAATCCATTAAAAAATACAATCTTTTATTTCCTAATCAATTGAATTGTGTTTTATGAAGAAAAAATTCACTATAAATGACTTAAAGTAAAAGGATAACATTTAGAAGTTTTCTACCACTCTGAAGTCTGTAACCCTTCAGAGTGGTTGAAATGATGTTTGGGACGGTGGGCAGAAAGTCTGGATCCTTGTAGACCAGCTGCTATAATCAAACAACAAAAGGATCTGTATCTGCCAATATGGATCATCAATGATCGGCAATTAGTATCAACGGCACCTCTACTCAGCTCTGAGATCAGACATCGGCCTTACCTCTCTCTGTCTCATCCAGATCAAAGTAGAAGTAGTGTTTGAGCTGCTCCTCCTCTGCCCAGTGAACTGTCTTCTTCTTCTTGCCTTTCTTGGTCAAGCTCTCTTCTTCTCCTCGTGGTTCTGCCAGAGCATTAGGCTTCTCACCTACAAACAACACAAACAAAGAGAAAGGAGGATGTCATTTTCAATAGACAGAAAACATAATGTCAAAGAAGTTCATGAAGCTTATCATCATCAAGGACCTTACCGTTGTCCGAGACCTCAGTCTCCTCAGAGGGAACGGGGGTCCCAGGCCGCTCGGGCTCCAGGTTTTCATCAGCAGGAGTGATGGAAGCAGCTGTTTCTGGAGATGACGGTTTAGCAGGAGAGGAAGAATACGCAGAGGGTTTGCTGTCAAATGGACTCCCCTGAGGACAAAAATGGAATAAGAACGACACAAGTTTTGGACATTATTTTGCGTGTAAAAAGACAAAGATGTTGACAGCTAAAAGTTCTTGGAAAGTCTGACTCAGCTATTTGCTCACTTATCTCCACCAGCTATTTACACCAGAGACTACCGGCAGAATACCCTTACCTCCCCGCCAACACAGAGGGTTATCACGCACAGCCTGAGTCCAACCAAGAAACTGGGAAGGACCACGTCGGCCATTAAAAAGCCACCTCACAGAAGGTCATTGTGTGTCATTATCTGGTTTCTTTTGCTTCAGTTACTGTATTGTTGAAACTGTGACTTTATCATTTAAAAAGACCAGAACCGCCAGTTTCTGTGTGATAAGTTAACAGCTTCTGCAGTGAGGCTCTGCCTTGCTTTGAATGAAACTACCCCTCCCTTTTCTTTTTTCTTCCCCCCCACACACACTCTCGCTCATTACAGGTTGTTTGTTGATTTTAGATAGCGTGCTTATGAATATTGACATTATTAATTCTATTAATGTCAATAACTTCGTTTTTCATATTTGCTGATAACTTAAACACGCTCCTTTTCATTCCCAACAGCAGAAAGTTCAGCAAAGTCTATTCAAACAACAGCAATCACATATATTCTGAGGACTTGCATAAAATTAGAATTCAACTCAAATATTCTGAGGCTGTTTTGGACTGACAATGACCATAATACATACGGTCATAATGAGATGAGTGTGTACCTTGTTAGACGTGGGGGAGACAGCCTTGGTGTTAGGGGGAGTACAAGCACTGGCTTTCTTCTTCTTGATCTTGATCCCGGGCACTGGAGCAGAGTTCAGAGCATCCAGGAACCCTGTGCACTCCATCGCTAAAGTGAGGACACAAGAGAGCAGTGAACACCACACTCCACCACCATCTCTCTCACATGCAGTTCAGATATGACCGTGTGTTTCAAACCTACGTTGTGCTGGAATGATCTTGACTTTGATCTCTTTGGCAGAGTTAGAGGGGGTGTTCAGAGGTTTGTACTTTTTCTCCAGAGGTGGCACATCTGATGGACCAGAGCTGTTGGGGGGGGGGGGGACGTCGACACACAAAAGGAAAACATGTAAGCACTGTCATCAGCCACCAGAGGGCAGCACTGAGCCAGTGGCCTGAATCCACATTAGGACATTTTCCCTCAGACAGTGAGGGGCCAGTACCTTGGCCTCTTGAGGACTGGAGGCTTGATGTTGTACTTGTCGCCCAGCTGTGGGGCGGTGGGAGTCTTCTTAGCAGGGGCCACGCTGGGAGTGTCCATCTCCAATCCTACACCACACAGAACATATCCATTATTTACAGTGTGCAAAACACGGGAGTCTCAAGCTAATTTTGCGTGGTGTAGTTGTTGTTGCGTTGTGCGAGTGGCCTTTTTGTTAACGACATTAACCTCTGTGATGTGGGTGCAAAGTGTGCACAGCCCGGTTGCCTCGACTTTGATCCATGAAATCGGGTATACTAGGTATTTATGTAAATGATGCATTCAGCATTATACTGGAGCACATTTGAACATGATCAGATGTGACATTAAGGGCCAACTCCATCACCGCTCATCAGGTTCTGTTTACCTATGGAGCGAATCTTTGCGTGGCTGGGTGCATGAGCTTTAGGTTTCTCCTTCTTCTTCTCCTCATCCACACTCTTCTCCTTCACGTCCCGCACCGGAACCTTGCCCTCCTCTTTCTTCTTTTTCTTATCTGGAGGAGAGATGGAGTGTGTTACTACGTGTTGCAGGTAGGAGTCACAGGGAAACACAGGGAGACAGAATGGGGGGTGCGTACCAGCAGGAGAGCTGCCGCTGCTCGACACACTCTGGGAGCGGATTGTAGCCATCCAGCCTTCTACCAGCACAGACGCCAACTTCCTCAGCTCTAAAAGTAAAACACAAGTACATGAGCGTGATACACACTTTCTCTTATACAATGATTTCATGTTTGGTGGACAAGCTCACTGACCTTCGGTGTCTGCACTCTTGCTCAGCTGCTTCACCAGCTTGGCTGTGTTGTTCTGAGAGCACATAAAGGCAGAGACAGGTTAGATCTACAGTTGGCTGTGCAGTTTACTGGAGGAGTGTTCTGGTGGATGGAGGGAGACAGTACCTGTTTGAGGTGGTCCACTTTGAGAGGCAGCTTCTGCAGTGTGAGCAGGATGAGCTGCAATAGGGGGCTGTTGTTGGTGGTTTTGGAGTAGGTGAGCCAGGAGTTGAGCATCCTGTAGCCACCAACTCTGATAAACCTGGATGAAAGAGGGAACAGTTGAATATAATGAAGGATGCGCATGCTCATGGATTACACTTGCTGATCAACAAAGACGTGGAAACTTGCTAATAATTACTCAGATTATCAGAAGTGCTAATGTTCAGAGGCTGGTGCTATTCTGTGACACTATCTCTCCATTCTCTCTGACGCTGGTGGATTAACATTTGCTTTAGTGACTATTTCTCACATAAATTACCTAATAAACAATAAACACAACACTTGTTTGTGGGATCCATTCATTGCTGGTTTGAGTTTGTCTGCTCCAGAGTTCAGTTATGTTCTCAGAGAGAACTGCATCACAAACAGACAACTGACATTTTCTGTCAGAAGTGTGGAAGATGTGAGAATAAATATGGATTGATTGCGATTGATGTACTATTATAAACAATGTGCATGAATTTAAAAGATAATTTCCCCCAAAGAAATACCAGCATGAGAAACGGTGGTAACAGAACCGACGTAATTGTAACATGATACTGACTCAAGAAACACGTATGTTGAAATGGTTCCAGCCCTAGCTATAGGTTTTATTCATGCATTTAATTGTGTTCTTTTAGAATTACATGCAAAATAATGTATGTTTGTTTGTTTCAGTAGTAACTTTGACTTCAGTTTACAGTTCTTCCAATTGAATGGAATATTTTCATCCCTGTGTTAATATGAATTAAGAACCAGACCTGCAATATGCAGCATATGAAGTAGCAGTAAGGCCTACCTGTTGAGAACATCATGGGATTTGGTCTGCAGCAGGATGCTCAGGTACATACATCTACTGACCATCTTGGTAGAAGCTTTCATCAGGCTGCATTAAAAAGAAAAGCAGAAGTATGAAGATGGTGCAGTGGAGAAGTTAAAGGTCCAACAGTTAGGGCACAGAAATGAGTCCTCACCTGAACACCTTTGGGACTCCCTCCAGGCTGCGCAGCTCTCCATCTTTCCCCAGCAGAGCCTCCACACCCTTCAGAATCTCTCTGGGGTCCACCGGTCCTCCTGCCATATCTGAAACACACACCGCAAACAATGAGTGCACACGGCAACAGGACATTTTCTGTTCTGGAAATAGTTGGTCCTTAGTAAAAGGTATTCAAGTGCTGTTCAGTGGGGACTGTTTGCCTGCCAGATAGCAAAGGGAGCTCCACGCTTGTCTTTAGAAATTAGGACTCAACTGCTCCGATCTGTTTTGTTTCTAAAATGTCCCATCAAGGCTCAAAAGCCGCTTCACATGGGACTCACACAACCCTAAAGTGTATCAGGCTGACACGGTCACAGCAGCCGGATTCACCTCACCACTCACACCATCCAGACCACTGTGGATCATCTCACTCCTGACACTGGTTCCTGCAACATCAAGGTCTAAAGACTGACTCAACAACCAAATCAGGAGATCAGCACCACAAGCTGGCCAACAAGATGTCATCAGAGGTGACACACAGGCCATCCTCCAGAGGGATCAGCAGCAGAGCAGCCTGAGCTACTAGCCAGTAAAGCAGCTGAATATCATCAGGCTGAGGAAGGAAAAGTAACACGACGTCAGCTGATGATCTGGCTGACCTGCTCACATACACACCACTAGTCACACAGCTGTGTGGCTCTGACAGGCAGCCATCCCCAGTGCAGGATGACTTCAGTGCCTCATTCTTGAGATGTTTGGAGGCATTCACGTGACATCAGTTCAGCAGGATGCTGCCACTTACTCCTCAGTGTCTCCAGAGTGTCTCCTCTCTGGGACGTTTACTTGCAGGACAGACTGACAGGTTCATTTTGGAGTGCGAGGCAACACTAGTAATTCCACTTCAGGCTATGAATTTAGAAGCAGCAGCAACGCAGAAACAAAACTACATGTTATTAACTGAGCAACAAAATATTACAAATCAACTTGGTTTATTGACCTAACTTTTTATTTCATTGAATGTTTCCCTAAATATATCTAAATGAACTATTGATATAAATTCAATAGCTATAACTATATATAATATAAATGTATTATATTAATATGTATCAGAGACAAGAGGAAAGGTCAAAGTCTTGTTAGAACAAGAATAGCCAAAGGGATGAATTCTTAAAAGAAATGTTACTGGTAATGATGTATCACGTTTTTAATGCCACATGTCTATCACAATCATTCACATAAAAATCAACTCAAACCAGAAGAATGGTAACAGAATCATCAACAGTCAATGAAAACCCTATTGTCACTTTTCATGTGGTATCTGATGAAATGGTCAAAATGCAGAAAACAACACATTAAAATGTGTCTGTATGAAGTATGAAATGCTTGAAAACAGTGGAAATAGTAAGTTAAATACTCAGTGGTGTGGACTGTTCCAGCCGCGGTACATGAGGCCACTACCTGCCACCTACAGGCTCCTTTATGCCTACACACGCCACTCTACTGTCTGGGGAGTTCCATAAGAGGCACAGCATTGTTAGTGAAACATCACATGACAACGGTCTGAACTGTCATTAGCGTGACTGTAAAACCAAGTCATTAACGAAAGGTGTTGGATGTTAGTCTACTTGCTAACTTTAAAAAGTCCAATGTGATCCAAACAAAGACAGCCGACACTAAATCACCGGCCTTTATGAATGTCTTCACAATTACAGATTACAAGAAACTACCAAGACAAAGGGTCTTATGAATAACCTCTGAATGGTTCTTGATGTAACACTGGGGTTGCATCTTTTAAGCATGCAAATATTGCTCCATGTTTATACACTTCATAATGGAACCGTTCTAACTCAAGAGCAGAACCCGCTATTCTGACGGAAGTCAATTCATTGGAAATGTCATGATGTAGGAATCAGTTAGGTCTTACCCGGATAACTGTTGTAGTTGAAGTTATATATAGTCTCAGACCTCCACAACACTGCAAATAACCCACTTCCTGTAAATGTCACAATCGTTACACAAAATCAGTGTTAATCATGGCCCTGGATCAGTGGTGGAAAGAGCATTATTGGTGCATTGCCATACTGTGGTGTTACTACATATCACTGGTACATTATGGACAACAAACTAGGACTATACGCGAATGACCAAGCCTTCTAAAATAATATCATTTACTGAAATTTTGTTTGTGAAACAGTAGACTTGACAACAAGGCAGCTCATCAAGGTGAAACTGAATGAATCAACTCATGTAAAACGGTTATATAAGGGCAGTTCGACTGAAGCCGACATCTGTCCTATACAGTCACTGGTCATAGCTGAGAACAGGCAGTCAGAGGGAGGAGCTGGAGCCCGCTAATCAGAGCCCTTCCTCCGTTAACCACTTCGACGACGGCCAACGAAAGCAATCCCACGCGAGCAACAATGGCTCCCCGAGCAAAGACCGTGCTGCTTGATAGGAAAACAAGTCACCGAGCACAACACATCTACCGAACCATACGCGCGCGGCAGTCTGTACTTTTCTGCTTGCCAGTTTTGTAAAAACTCCCAAATGTTGCTCCGAGAACACGGCGAGCTCCCGGAGCTGTCCGACGACGAAAAGCAAACCACAAGCAGTCCGCCATGTTTGACAATCCCGACTGTTTGTTTCGAAAGAGCACTTCGCTTGAGTCATCCTGCAATCTTTATCCACAGATTGCCGAGTACGTGCTGCGGGCTTTCGGGAAGTCCCTGTGTTTAATTATCGACATTTCAGTATACACAGTACTTCATAAGATCTGTCCACAATCCTCAAGCTAACGCAATCTTTATGTATAGATTGCGGTGAGTGTTCGTTCCGTGAAGCAGCCCCTATAAAACGAATCTGGCAGGCAAAAAGTCCGACTTCATGAGCTGGAATTTGTTTTTTTGTGCCTACGGCAATCTTTATGAATAGATTGCTTATGGATAAATTACGAATTTACTGACTATACTAACTTTTGTTTATACAACACGCCCATTCCGTCTCACACACAAAGAAACGGAGCCTAGTGCCTCCGTCCACTTTCCTGTGTGAGCTCATACTATAACATTGTCTCTATTCAAATGGTTTGAAAAGAACCAAGCTAACTTACGGTGCCGGCTAACCAGCTACCGCTAACTAGCCTATCGTCTACGACCATTTTTACTTGACTGCTCTCGATCCAATTTAACTTCAAAATCAACTTACTATTGACACTATAGATCCTCAGCGTCTCGGGTGTATTAGAGTGTGCTTTTCAGGCACTTATATCTCTTATTTCATCTATTTTATATCGTCAACCTTCATGGTTTTAATATCAACTGAAATACTTCTTATGGGTGGGGCTGAAAGCTAGCCTTTCCTTCAGGAACAAACTGGAGGCAAAAATAGTAATCAAATGTCCATTACTTGAAGAAAAAAATATGAATTTGAGTAGAGTTGTTCAAAGTCCTCGACGGGTCAGTCTTCGGCAAAGCGAATTCATACCTGCAAAACACACAAAAAACACACATTTTAATTTAGAGTCTGATCAATTCCGTCGTCTACCGTTATATCAAAGTCATTTGTTGGTTCTTGAAAACCATAAGTAGGAATTTCGCATTTTAGACCAACAAAATGTTGAAAATAAGCCTCGCTGTCTTTCTGACTTCACTTACCTTTGACCAAATCCAGGAATGACTCCGAAGAGGAGGGACTTGGTTTTTATAGTGAGTGACGAGTTTTACGTCATGGGCAACGTTTTTTTCCGTTTTTGCTGAAACAAAATGGTGGATAGCCAACCTTCCCTGGTCCTGTCAAGGACATAATGGCGTGTCACACATTTTGGAAGCTGTTGTTAAGAATTACTGTCGGGATTTACCTTGAAAGTATTGTGTATTTACGTCATAAAGTAGACAATAAAGCATACCAAACAATGTCGTTGATTTAGCTGGATTGTAGTAATTATTTAATATATAAATTTAGTTAACAGTATTGCTTCAAAATGGCGACTAGTTTGTCTGTCGGGGTTGTGCTCGTCACCATGGTTATGAAGAGAAGTCGACGAGAACGCAACATTTTAACAATCATCGACACCCAACAAACTCAAATAAAACGGCCAGAATATGGCTTCACCCGCAATATAAAGGGATTGTTTGTGATACAATTTCGATATAAAATGTAACTTGATATTTCTACATTATTGTTTGATCTTTCACCTTTCACCTACAACCCCACTGGGACAGAAAAAATGGCTGCCTCCTTTCAAGGGATCGCAAAGGTTCTGGGCTGTCTCTCGCCTTCCCTTTTACATCCATTACGACAGTATCAGGTAACTGGTTCATTTCACTTTGCTGTTGACATACCGATGAGTTTATTTGTGATCAGTTAGTACTGAGGTTTTGAAATGTTGAGGTGATATGACAAGCCGGACGCTTCCAAAATCCTACGGTGTGCAGCAACGTAACTATCTAGCAGCGACTTGTAGCCTCCGGTAATAATGCCCCTTGCGTTAACTTTATTTAGCGTTAATAAGAGTTTGAGAACCTCTCGGCAACAACACAGACACTGCTGTAGGACACAGGGGGACATTTTATGATTCTGGTAGGAAGTAATATGCATGTGTATGGGTTGTTTAGCTACTGTGTCCGAAAGGCAAGTCCCATTTGTACATGTGGATTTTTGCACCTGACTGATCAAATCGATTTTTGTATACTCTAGTTTAATTTGCACTCTGTAATACGTTTGTACTCTTTCCCACTTTACACTGCAGCTACCGTTGAAAATAGTTTAATCTTATCTTATTTAGACTGACCGAAATACACAATTCAATTTAATTTGTGTAGCCCAAAATCACAAATTTACCTCGATCTGTTCACATGTAACATCCTCTGTCACATCAGAACAGGAAACACTCCCCCAAAATAAACTTAATGGGGGGGGGGGGGACCTCAGAGAGAGCAACAGAGGAGGATCCTCTATCAGGATGGACAGAAGTGTGATAGATGTCATGTCTACAGAATGAACAACATAACAGAGTAATTACGAATACTAATATTAACAGCTGCAGTGTATATAGTAGAATGGTAATAAAAGCATTAAGGGTATCGGTAATAGCAATGTGACTACTAATAGCAGTGGGTGTCAGGCAGGACCAGGGTCCAGGTAAACCCAGGATCCATGGAAACCTGTGAGGAGAGAAAGCACAAAGACTCCGGGGAAGAAGCAAAGTCAGTAATGAGCATTAATGGGACATGAATTCATACAGAAGGAGAGAGAGGAGAGGAGAGAGGAGCTCAGTGTATCCTAGGAAGTCCCACGGTAGGCAAGGCAAGTTTATTTGGACAGCACATTTCACAACAAGGTAATTCAAAGTGCTTCACATAAAACCATTAAAAGCATCAAAACATAAGGCAAAAGAAAAGGAGATTCAAAAACAAGAACATTCATTAAAACACTAAAAAGTAGTGTAAGAAATAAAATACAGTAGTAAAATGCAGAAATGCAGAAATTGATTAATATCCTCGAATTTGGTTGAATTAAAGGCAGCAGCAAACAGAAAAGTCTTCAATCTTGATTTAAAGGAGCTGAGGGTCTCATCAGACCTGCAGCTTTCTGGGACTTTGTTTCAGATATGTGGAGCAGAAAAACTGAACGCTGCTTCTCCATGTTTAGTTCTGACTCTGGGAACAGAAAATAGACCGGTCCCAGACGACCTAAGGGGTCGGGATGGTTCATAAGGTAGCAGCAGATCAGAGATGTACCATTCAGTGCTTTATAAACCAACAGCAGGATTTTAAAGCCTATAGCAGTTTATCTAGGTCCACGGCAAACCTGAGCCAGCCCTAACTATAAGCCTGAGCCAGCCCTAACTATAAACCTGAGCTAGCCCTAACTATAAGCCTGAGCCAGCCCTAACTATAAGCCTGAGCCAGCCCCAACTATAAGCCTGAGCCAGCCCCAACTATAAGCCTGAGCCAGCCCCAACTATAAACCTGAGCCAGCCCCAACTATAAACCTGAGCCAGCCCCAACTATAAACCTGAGCCAGCCCCAACTATAAACCTGAGCCAGTCCTAACTATAAGCGTTATCAAAGAGGAAAGTCTTCAGCCTACTCTTAAATGTGGTGAGTGTGTCTGCCCCCCGGACTGAAGCTGGTTCCACAGAAGAGGATCTTGATAACTGAAGGCTCTGGCTCCCATCCTACTTTTTACGACTCCAGAACAACAAGTAACCCTGAATTTAAGGAGTACAGCTCTCTAGTAGGATAATATGGTACTTTAAGCTCCTTACGATATGATGGTGTCTGACCAATTAGGGCTTTGTAGGTGAGGAGAAGGATTTTAAATTATATTCTAGATGTTACAGGGAGCCAGTGCACAGAAGCTAATACATTTACTCATGTTGTGATGATGGCAATGCTGAGATGATTTTCTTTTGCTTTCAGTCGTGTCTGCAGAGGCTGCCTGTAAGATCCTGCCCGGGTCTCTCTCCATTTGTATCTCCGAGTTGCTTGTTCTGCAAAGCAGCATTGCTCCAGGATGAGGATGCTGCTGAGGCTCTCCTCCGCTACAAGGACAGACCCTGGGATTATCTGGAGAGTGAAGGTACCTAAAAGAAACTCATCTCATCTCCCGTCCTTGTACTTTGTTTTATAATATATTCCTTTCCCCTGACAGAGTATATTGAGAGGTATGGGACCAATCCAGTATGGGCAGGCTACAGGAGGAACCACAAAGGTGGCATTCCCCCACAGAAGACACGCAAGACTTGCATTGTAAAATTTCTATTTGAATCCATTGGTTCCATGCATCATATCTGTCATGTTAAGGGAAGTCACCTAAACGCTGATTCTGTTTCTGTAGAGAGGAGACAAGATATGTGGAAACCCCTGTCCAGTTTGTCGGGATCCAAACGTTCTAATCCACCATCAGGTGGGTCAGCATCTCAGTCACACTGGTTTCTCACCGCACATCAAACACATTGTGCTGTTCTTGATCTTTCACTGCTGAAGTCTGTGTCTGGAGGCTTTTGTTCTAACCAAGCACTGCACCTGCTCATTTTACTGATTTATTTGTCTGTAGCATTTGAATAAGGAGCATCTGGCTGCATACATGGACAGTTTATAAGAAGTAGCGTCCTGGAGGAGCACGATACGTTGTTAGACAGCACATAGACAGCGCCTCAGCCTCAGGCCATCCTGTGCTACAGGTCCTCACTACAGTTGAAACAGGAGTCGTCCATTCTTGTGCCTTTGGCTTCATTGATTTTCTGAGCTGACCAGGCACATTTCCATTCAATAGCAATAAAAAAAGACAAGTGAGAAAGGAAGTCAAACTTCTTGATCATGTCTGCTTCTGTAAAGTTGGTTCAGTATTAACAAAAAGAGGAAACTGAAGCTTTCATCTAGCTTTCTGTCAAACATGTGGCATCAGCCATCCAGTGTTCAAGCTTTGCGCCACAATCGGGACACAAATATCTATATTAAAGTCAAAAAATCTCAAATTGTACATCAGCCATATTATGTTTTTTCTTAAACACATAACACACTTAATTTTAATAAGGATCCTACAATGCGGACATTAAATAATTAAGACCAATATATTTAGTGAGCAGGACGTTTTACAGCGTAAAGGGAAAGAAGTAAAAAAGTTACTTATCGCCTCACGTAACAGAGAAACACATCTTTGACAAGCTAACTAGGACCTCAACTAACAACTGTTATTATTGATCATGGAGAATCAAATGTATGTCATTTATTTAGCACTTTAAAAGCAAACAGCTTTTGCATCAAAGTGCTTCACAATGACAGACATATACACATGTACAAGCATAGAGACATATATGTGCAGTGTGTAAATAAAGTAAGCTTTAAAAACAGGTTCAACACAGTTAACAGACTTTAACAGCAGGCAAACTGATCCAAAGTGGAGAAGCCGCTACAGAAAAAGCCAATCGACCCAATTCTTTCTTCATTTATGGTTAAGTCAGATAATTGTGAAAAATCCAAGGTGACGTCTTCAGTCTTCAAACTAAATATTTTCAATTTACGTCATAGAAGAGTAGAGAGAATTGGAACCTGTGATTTATTTTTTATTATTCAATTGTTGCCAATTATATTTCTGTTAACCAACTGATCGATTAATCATGGAATGGTGTCTGATCAGTCAGGCTCTGCCCTGTTTGCTTTGGCCCAGTATCACTCGAAACCAATTCTAATGTTTCGAGTAACTACATACATTTAAGTACTGTTCTTTAGTGCAGTTTCCACTGACTTATACTCTATTTCCATTTGATGCTTAACACTTCCACCCCAGTGCTTTTAAGAGAGACATATTGTGCTTTTTACCCCACTACATTTATTTAATGTAGTTACTTTTCAGATTTATATTTTACATAAAAATCATATGCTAATCTCCTAAAATACAGTTCATTGTTAAAATGAAAGCAGCTGTTCCCATCCGTTTTGCTTTGTGACCTGTTGTAAAAGTTGGGGCCTGTTAACATGTTTCAGATGTCTGAGTTATTTGTTAGTGACTGACCGTCCAAACTTCAACTATAGCCAGCTAACATGTTAGCCAGTTTCACAATTGTGTGCATTGTCTGATTTGAATTGTCAGGCTCATAAGAAGCAACGGGCTAAAGCTGGTGAACAGCTGATATCTGCTATAATCTCTGAATCCTGACAGCACAATGTTGAAACAAACAGAACCACATTCCACACCACTGGCTGATAGCTGACTTCAATAACTTTATTTAACAAAAAAAACATGGCAACAACATGCGCATCATAGCCGTGTGCTTCTTACAGCACCGTCCTGCAGGTGGCAGCGTGTTCTCAAATTGGGGATGTGTTTGCAGTGAGAGCGTCCAGGGCCTCATATTCGCAGTAATGAATTAGCTTTCTTTCTTGTTGAATTCATTGATCAATAATCAATCATATTAACACCTAAATGTATCCTCTTCTGCAGAATGTGAAATTGTTGCAGCAGTTCATTAGTCCTCACACTGGATTGGTGTATGATCCCACTCGAACCGGTAGGTCCTAAACATGAGCATGTACTGATGCATCAGGGTGTCCAGTGGATCATGTAGTGTTTGTTCTGTCTCCAGGTGTGTGTATGAAACAGCAGAAGAAGCTGCATGAGGCAATCAACACAGCAAGAGATCACGGTACGTAGGGCAACACGAGACCTGAAAGGACAGTTGGATGTTTTGAGGTGGGGCTGTACGAGGAACTGGTCCGGCTCAAGTACAGCTGTGGATGTGTTTAAGTGTACGTTGTATTTAGAATATTTTTACCGCTTTGCCGTGCTGTCAGACAACTCCCTCTGATGGAGAAATAGAGTAGTTATATCCATCCATGCTCTCTTCAAAGCCACCAGACTCCATTGACGAGTCATTTTACCTGGAGTTGCTGGTGTATTGTCTATGGTTATTGTGTGACTTTGGTGAACCGAACTAACCCTTTAAAACACCAAAGTCACACAATAACACTAACGGTTTAAAGCTGTGAGAATATTCACTATATCAACTCATCGATTCTTTGAAACAGTACTCCTGTAGTAATACAGTGATAGTGGAGAAGTAGATCACACAACACCTCTAAACATCACAACTGTCCCTTCTGTTTTCCCAACTGGACTTCTGTTTTTTTTTTAATATGACAGTGATATACGTAAGTCTATAGAATTGACCAGGGGTACATCTCAAGTCTCTTAATTGCATCCCCGTTTCCCTCACTTGGGTCCTTTCCTTGCATCTTAGTCCCTCCCACCAAGGATGCATGGAGGAAACCATGCAAGGAGAGAGGAACGAGGAAATCTGTTTTAAGAGACGAGACGTCCTTTCCTCAGTTGCGTCACGTGAAGCGACGTCTGTTTCTGATGACGAAGGATCAGTTGATCACAGCTGGATCAGCTGTCAGTCGGCTTTAACAGCTGGAGAGACTTTTGATAAGTTTGTGTCTGTTCACATGATCACTGTACTTAATAATAGTAACTAATAACAATAACTAATACACAGTAATCACCACTGTAGCGGTGTTTCTCTCTGTTGTCTGTTAAACTGTCCTGTGTTCCGTTTATAAGCGCAGGATCGATTTCTACCGGCAGAATGCGATCGTCTTATTTATGAATTATTTGCGTCTGTACGTTTTGAAATTGTGACTGTGGCATAATTATTAAATAACCCAGAATGATTATTGTTTCTCTTAAATGATAAAACTCATCAATCACTCAGGAATGATGTAAAAAGTGTTTGGTCTCCTCAGCTCTCTCTGACTTTAATTGTATTCATAATAAAAGTTCTTGAGGGATATATCAGATCAAGAAAACACATCTTTCTAATAAATGAAGAAAGTTGTTTGTGGTCGTTTTGTTGTTCAGACTACAATGAACATATTTAAACCAGATGGTGAATCAGAAACCTAATCAAATATAAACTAGAGTTTATTCTGTGATCCGTCTTCACTCTGGTGTTAAACTCCAGTCAGTCAGTCCGATCGGCTGCAGCGTCCAATCACATAACTGATGAACAATAAGGGGGCGTGTCGGCTGTTAAAAGACTTCCTGGATGTCTGTTCTCGTGGTTCCTCACTCATCCCTCCTCCGAGCTAATAAGAGCTTTGGGACGGCCGTCACTATGGCGGCACAGAAACAACTTCCGGTTCAAGCGAGGATCGACGAAATGACAATTAAGAGACTTGAGAAGTACCCAGTACAGCCCAATGTGATTTTTCAAAAGCTAATCCTAAATGAGCCTTTGACCTTCAGCATAGCTACGATAGGACCCCGAAACAGAAATTAGTTTACAACCGACTCCGGTGGGACGGAAAAAAGATGGGAAGTGTTTTTAAAATCTCAGCGGTATTGATGAACAACACCTGTGGACCCCTAATATTCACAGAACCAGTAAAACATTACCGATTGTTCTCACATTATCTCTGTTCGATGTATGACAGAAACACCGTGTCCTCTTCCAGGCTTTCTTCCCTTTCAGATTCCATATGTGGAATTTTCAGGAGAGGACTACTCCAATTCCCATGATGCTGTGGGGTCAACACCACCTGCCCAGTCGTTGACCTCTGGTGAAAGCTGGTATAAGTGGTACAGTGAAATAACACCTGATGAGAATGAAGTGGCTAAAGTGAAGAAGACATACAAGGCTTACTTAAAGTGATGAAGACTCCAGAACCCGTCCAGTTGATCATGTTATAATGACTAACTAAGTTACTTTGGTTTGCTGACCATGTAAATGTCCTACTGGTATGCAAATAAAAATGGCACAATAAAACCCCAATGAAAATGGATTTATTTTATTGTTTGGCTTTAGGAGATCATAACCAGATATTTAGTAGACCTCCCTCTATTTCTAGAAATGAACAGTAGGAACTCCAGGAAGAGGCTTTTATTATCAGCGTTGCTCTGAGACTCATGCGACTGGTCCCAGCTGGTGTGTACGCAGCTTACAGAGTGTTCATGGGTTGACCTTGTTGACCATGGTCTCTCCCAGAGACTCCAACACCTCCCGCTTGTAATCGTCAAAGTCTCCATCGATCTGGTTGACCGAACTATCTTCCACTACCCACATCTGGCAATGAGTCTCCGTGATGAGCCGGGCGTCGTGACTCACGATGATCACAGCTGGACAACAAGAGACAGATTGTTAGCTTTAGGAGAAAGAACATGGACAGGCAAAATAAAGCATTTTTGATTTACCTAAAGTTTGGCTTACTATTGCAAAACCTTGTCATTCATCTGACTTAAGGGGAGTACTACTTTTCATCGTTTTTTTCTGTTTAAGCTTCCATAAGTAACATCTGATCAGTAACAGGACATGTCAGCAGAGACATGTAGAAAGAGTGTGTCCATTACTGAGTTAGTCCACCCGAGCACACTGACTGAATGATAGACAGTTGATGTTTTGTGTCTCCCACCCTTGAGGCCACTTTTCTTTCAAAAACTAAATGAAGAAACCCCTAGTCAGTGTTACACAGGAGCACCTTGGTTGCATGTCAAACCATTAATTTGTGTTTCCTCCTACTTTCGAGGCAGCCATTAGTTCCCATACATTTCACTACTATATGATAATCCACTTGTACATCAGCCAATCTAGGGAATGTTATGATCATTAGAGTCCACCTTGCTGGTGGACACCTCATGTGTCTCCTCTTACCTCCTTTATATTCATTGATGGCCTCTGATAAGGCATCAATTGACTCAATGTCCAAATTGTTGGTGGGTTCATCCTAGGAGAAAAGAAGCAGCTGGTCAGTTGGTCAGTCAGGTAGAACATCAGCAGTGTGTATAGAAGGATCAGTGAACCTCACCAGGATCAGCACGTCAGGCTGACGACAGGACAGTTCAGCAAACACTACTCTGGCTTTCTGCCCACCTGTTTGGAGAGAATTCCAGAAAACTATGTTAGAAAATGTCTCCTTCCTGTCAGCCGACAGAAAATGTCATGTCGTGACGCTTCATATAAGTACCGGACAGTTTAGAGATCTGAATGGTGTGGGCGTGGCTCTCCAGGCCAAAGCGTCCCAGGCACTTCCTGCCATCCTGGTAGGGAAGGTTGAAGTTCCTCATTAGGTACTCTGTGGCGGTCTCCTCCATGTTCAGCTGATCAGCATACTGCTGGTTAAAGAAGCCCACTTTCTGCAAGCAGACAATAGACCAGAGTTACAACTCTGATCATTTACCAGAATCACACTGTGTAAGGTAACACACCACTGTTCATGTCAGAACAGGGCACCATGCCATACAATCAGCAGGCAGTTGCTAGGACTGTCACAATCATGACCAATTATTATTATGATCACAAGCCTGTCTAATAGATACGTTTAAGCCCACCACCCTCCCTCTGGTTCTTCAACATGCTCTGCAGGCCCTTGTTTGAATCTTAGCCGCCTGGCTCTAACCCACAGCCGCTAAACAGCCTCCAGCAAGCCCCACTGTGCTCTGCTCCTCCACCATAGATCCACTCGTGTTTGTGTCAGAGAGCTCTAGCGTTCTCACAGCGGGCTCTGTGAGCCTGATCTGGCCGAGTGGCTAGCCATCGACCCCCGAAGGGACAAGCTTAAAAACTATGGGGCATATTTTCGGTTCTCCAATATTTTTTTGTAAGATTGGCAATATTCAAAATCGACATAGTTGATTTCTCGCTTCAAAATGTATCCGAAGTGAGTTTAATGATGAAAAAGCACATGAAAATTGTAAATAAAAAAACTACCGTTCCTCGGACCGGGTATCCTCTCTTCGGACTATGGGAACAAAAAGGTGAGCTGCCGTGGCTGAGTCACTCTTCCCCAGCTTATCTCGGTCGAAGCGCCGGTTAGCATCATAGCTAGGCTAACATTAGTGTACTGGGTAGGCGGTCCCGCACCTGCGCAGAACGGATCGGGCACTGAGCCTTCGAGCAAAACATGCGAGCCGTGATGACGCCATTTTCTGACACACCCACCCCACAGTGGCTTCACTACGGCGAGCGCAATCTGCGCTTCACTACGGCGAGCGCAAACTGCGCTTCACTACGGCGAGCGCAAACTGCGCTTCACTACGGCGAGCGCAAACTGCGCTTCACTACGGCGAGCGCAATCTGCGCTTCACTACGGCGAGCGCAAACTGCGCTTCACTACGGCGAGTAAACTCTTAATAACAGCGTGGTGCGCGTGTAAAGCGGGGCTGTTCACAAAAATGTGGTGTGTCGGTCTCTCTCTCCCCCCCCCTCTCTTTGAACGGTGTGAGCATGTGGAAATACGCACTGTATTCAAGAGACATACTTTAACAGGAAGTTACTTACCAAACGATGATTCTTCCTCATCTCACCTTTAGCCTAAAAAAAGAAACATCCAGTTACCTCACTGGTACATATATTTGAGTGAAATTCAAATGTTTGCATACATACTTACAGGATTTAATTTCCCAGTGAGCAGCAGCAGCAGGGTACTCTTTCCAACACCATTGGGTCCAACTATACAAACTAAAGGAAGGAGGTCAGGTCAGCAGAAGATTGGAAGATCAACTAATCTTTTTTCTGCCATTAACAATATAGTAACTACCTGAGTGCCTCCATGTTTATTTCTGTTTAACCTTTGTGCCTCACTCTGAAAAAAAGATCCTCTGGTGTGTATCTAACAAATGTTTATTAGGGCCCGAGCACTGACGTAGTCGGAGCGGAGGACCTATTGTTATTCTATCGTTTATTATTATTTTACGTCTTTTGTCACAAAGAGGAGGTGCTTGGGATACTGGAATTTTTTTGAAATTTAGCACGCAAGCCAGTCGTGGTGAAAATTGCAGTGTGATTGGGGTGTCCAGCTGCGGTATGAAATATTGGCTCGATAGCGCTCCCTATTGAGTAGCCCCAACATTGGGTTTCACCTAGCTGTATGACATTTTTTTTTGTCGTTTAAGTTTGAGATGTGTCAGTGATTAGCAACAATTTCTATTTTGATGGATTTTTATGCAAAAAGATTAGATTAAAGAATCTCACCTGTTAATTTACAGTCCATAAAAAATGTAAATTATTGTTTTTTATTATTCCTATTTACCTTCAAAGTTCTTACCTTCTAATAGTGTATTAGCTTACAAAGCAAAAATAGTTTAGAAGATCACTTTAAACAACAGCCATTAGAACTAATTGCTCTCAGCTCATGCAATCACATACATACACACACACGCAAAAACTACAACTTTGAAGCCAGGGCTCTAGAATGACAGCCTGACATCATGGAATGATTTTATGCTGTAATGGCTCAGTTTTCTCATTAGGTCAAAGACACGTGAATCAGAGCAAATGAAAACGACAGTCCTGATGGGCAGGTGGCTCCTGACGACATGTAGTGTTAAGTGGTTGGAAGACTAGAAAGGCGCTATACAAGTACAGTCCATCATTTCTGCTGCAGACATTTGCTGCAGTGCTCCATAATACAGCAGCCATGCCCCTAGTGGAAACCAGGAAAATAGCATGCATTTGCCTCATAGGGCAAACATGAGAAAATGACTCAAACTGGAAGAAAATAGAAAAATAAATATTTCGAAGCCAGGCCCTACATTGAAAGCAATGATATAATAGAATGTATGCTTTTATATTGTGATGACAGTGGGATAAAAATTGTGGATTTAAAATGATTCAATGGGGACATTTTTGTGTCCGTATTTTGGCTACACAGTTCATCAGACTTTTTATAGTAGCGGACGTTGAACTTAAGTTCAGAAAAACACTCACAACTTTACCAAACTTCATAAAAGCCAAAAAGGTCCCTAGTGAGGTACAAAGTGTTAAGCTACTAAATCAACTTCTTAACCCTCCACCAACATATAAGTACACAGAAAGATGTTCTCAACGTTAACAATGATGGTAGAAGCAGCATACTTACTCCTGGAGTCCATGTCGATTCCAAAGTCCACATTTTTGAAGAGAGGCTTGTGACCCCCATAGCCAAAGTCAACACCTGCAGAGGAGAGAGAGAGACAGCTCTCACTTCACTGCAGGGCTTTACTCTTATGTTGCTGTTCTTTGTTCCTGTGTGAATCACTGATTATTATCATGTGTGCATCATTAAGTGTCCCGTCTTGTTCTCCAAGGTCAGCCTCAAAATATATTTCCAATTCTTGATTATGTGTTCGTCTGTGACAACACTGTTATTCCCTTTAGTGCTGATTGATGAATCGTATTTTCATCGTCATAGCGATATCAACATGCGTGATGAGTTAAAGCCAGGCCAATAGTTTTGATCATTTGAAAATAATTTGATCCTGAAAGTTCAAGTTTGGGCCACGAACATTCAAAAATAAAAATAAGTGAATGAAAGGCTTTTTTTGGGTTGAATATCATTTTTATTCAGTTCTGGAATTGTTTTGAATAAAATATTTATTTTTCATATATATTTTGATATTTGAGGTCAGATTTTATATTTTCAGATTTCACCGCGAGAATTATGATTCAACACTTTCTATACACCATATTCACGTGAATGCAGTGGGGAAAAAACTGTGATCCTGTGAGAAACTTCAGAGTCGAACCAAGGCGGGGATCAGCTCACCTAAAATGCGTCAGGGGTCTGTGGCGATGTCGGCAACCCACCCGAGCCGTCTTGAAACACGGACCAAAGGTGAAGCAAACCCCGTGAAAGACTAATCGAACCAGTAGCTGTTCCTCTCCGAAGTTTCCTTCAGGATAGCGGGCGCTCAGTTTTTCCCCACTGTATTTACGTGAATATGGTGTATAGAAAGTGTTGAATCATAATTCTCGCGGTACCTACGTGTGGTTGAGGAAGGTCCTCAGCCTTCGTTATGCTGTCACTCATGATTACACACCCCTCTCAGTTGATGCCACGCCCCCCATACTAGATCAGGGCCAAAAGTCTGAACTGAAAAAAAAAACCATCTGAGAGTGAAAAATATAAGACCTCAAATATCAAAATATATATATGAAAGTGAAAAATGAAAATAAATATTTTATTCAAAACAATTCCAGAACTAAATCAAATTATATTCAACCCAAAACATTTCATTCACTTATTTTTATTTTGAATACATTGCTGTATTTTTGAATGTTCATGACCAAAACCTGAACTTTCAGGTTCAATTTTTCTCTCTCCAAATGATCAAAACTATTGGCCTGGATTTGGCTCCATAGACCTGCAGACGACCTGTTTATTTTAGTAGAGGACAGGAGGAATGACTGATGTCTGTGTTCTTCATTCTTTATAAACTTCACTCAGGAATATTATTTATTTTATTGACATGTTAGATTTGTTTCTCGTGAGATATTAATGACTGTATGAAGTGACTTTGCTGTTGTAACCATAACTGTTGCTGTTCTAGAGCCTAGTTATGTTGAAAATATTCCATTCTAATCCTGTTCTGAATTTACAGACAGCCGGCTGATGGAGGAAATGTACAGCAAATATGCACACTTCAATATTTGTTTATTTATGGCAAGTCATATTGTCATCACAATATTATCGCACATCTCAAACCGTGTTGTCAGTCCTCTACGGCCTCCTTCAGCCCTCACCTGCGTGTTAGCTCACTGGTCACCTGCTCTACTGGAACATGTGCAGCATTGAGCTGCTGCAACAGACTGTCGGTGTTTATAGTTCTTACTGTGTAGTCCCAGGATGGGCGGTGAGAGAGGAGGTGGGTTGGGGAAGGTGAACTTGACGGTGTACTCTTTAGGCCTCTTCAGCAGCTCTGTGGCATCCTGGCTCTCCTCCTCCTGACCTCCCTTCTTCTTGCCTTTCTGCTGCTTTCTGGTCAGGGCCTCCTTAGTTTGCTTCTCCTGAGAGGAAACATTGAGACAAACAAAACAACATGAGACAGGATGGATGGATAAAGCACTGGTTTAACTGAGAATGGAGAAGTTTGACACACACCATATCTTGATGCGAGTCCACAGTTTTTATGTTGTACATTTGCCATTCAGCCATGAAGACCGTATAAGCATGTTTCAACAGTGACTACTGTAACAGAGTGAAATGAGAAAAGTCGAGTTCACTTTGTCTCAGCTTTAGCAAACGGAATACTTACAGCCTGTTTGGTGGACTTGCCACCAGCCTTCAGATCTTTCAGTTTCTTCTCCTGCTTGTCATACTGTTTCTGCAGTTCTTTCTGCTTCTGCACGTACATCTTCTTGAAGGTCACTTAAAAAAAGCAAAGTAAACCAAAAAACACCATGAGTAATGTG